AAAAGATGGTAGTAATAGCTGTTGGCTCTCAAATACATTCGAGAAATCAACTATATTGAATATCTGAGGAATTGTTGATGTTTGAGAGTCTAAGTGAAAAATTTATGACACTTTTTAATCAATAATAATGATAAGATGCTCATTCCATATCCCTAGAAAATCCAATTTGCGTACTTACTTGACCCAATTGAAATTGTGATGTCTTTCGTCTTCTCTCCTCAAACGTTTCAATGAAGGAGAACATATTTATTGCATGTTATATATGTAGTTCATGTTGATTGGGACCCGTGTTGATGGTATCGTAACATCGAGAATGCAGAGATTATATTATAAGTTGTTTCAAGTAAGAGTTTATGAAGGATATAATGGGAAGCATAGACTAGGAAATGGAGGCATTCAGAGGTTGAATTAGGTTGGTTGAATTGGAACTAGCTATGAGAGGAAGAGCTCTATTATACAGAGCTCTTACTAGTACTGATTAGGGCTACTTCCTGCTCTAGCACCACGTGAACCATACTTTAACATAATTTACTATTTTGTTAGCTTGATAGCTACTTATGCAATGTGATTAGTCACAGACTCAAAGTTCATCAATGGCACATCAATTTCAGGTATTGGAATTTTCAATTAGATGATGCTATCTTTGTAAAAAGCTAGAAAGGCCTCGACGATCACCTCCGAAAACATGACACCCCATAGGGAAAGCACTATTCACATCTCCCCGCATCACCATAATAATTCATACCAATAGCCAGACCGCCATCTTCGCTCCCTGCTTTCTGACTCTGGATCACTTCTCCTTGTGAACAAAGAATTCCGCCTTGTACAAACCAGCCAATCTACGGTCCCATGGACTACCAATATCAACATTGAATCTACCTTTGACATGGAGAATCTCCGTAACCATTGTCAAGTCCTTAAACTTCAAGCCGAATGCTGAAGCTGCGAGCTTCATTTGATTGAAGTTAAAGGCGTTGCTGAGTGAGACCACGAATTGGAACTCATCGATCTGGAATTTGTTAAGGCAGTTGATAGTCTGCATCATGTTCCTAACTCGAAGATTGTAAACCTCAGAGGATTCATGATATGTTGGAGCCACTAGTCTGAGCTCAATCTTTGTGATAAGATCCGCATACTTGGAAATAGCAACATTGAGATTGGCTTCGTTGATTGTCTTTTGGTGATGAATGATGTCGATGTTGATATGCAACTTGACAGTTCCGGTGCCGCCATCTTTAACTACCTTGAGCGCAGCGTGCTTAGGTAAAGTGGTGTAGTCAAAGTTGAAGACCCGTTGAAGAGCCAAAGCCTTCTCTTGTACCAACTGTTGGGCCTTGGCTTGCTGAGCCTGTAACTTCTGTGCCTCCTTCTGCTGTTCAGTGGCAACATTCTCGGCTGCCTTCTGTTCGGCATAAGCTTGAGCTGCACGCTTAACTGGTGCTTGACCGCGGGCGTTTTTGGAACCTATCGTGAAGTTTCGAGTGACTTTTGACGTTGTTGAATATTATTTATAGTAGGAACTACGAAAGATTTTGTATTGAAAGGAAGTGTTGAAGGAACTTGGAATTATTAATGTTCTCGCTCTTCGTTGTAATGTGAAGAGTTTTATCGAACGTTTGTGAAATGTATTGTAAAAAGATTCTGGATTCTAGAGAAAGAAGAATCTTTGTATACTATTTTGCTAACTGCAGAAAGCTCTCCTACCGTTCCCAAAGCAAGTTCATGTATTCTGTGTTGTCAAATCAGCCGTATTATGTGCAAGTATCGACGTATCAAAGTGTATGGCACAGTTAATAGTACGGCTAGCCAGTCACATTTTGTGACGCTGCTGATGAACCGATGCATGTGTAGGGTTAGTGAAGCTATTCATCAAATCTATCGAATGCTCTACCGTAATATAACCCGTATCAAAGTCACGATACGTTACATTTCGAATTCATATAATACGGAATGAGCCTATTAAGAATGCAATAAATTGCCGTGTCATTTGAATAAAGCTAACAGCTAAATAGTCATAGTTCTGTATGCCTTTTGTACTGTAACAATATAATTTATTCAGAATCCTAGAGCATTTCTGAATGTTTTGGCAGTCGGGATTCGGTTAACTCCAGGGAATCTCCAGGGTATTATTGTGTCGTGACATCACGAACATTCTGTTTTCACAGCACGCTACTTATCTTTCTGCCATGGTCCGAAGTGTTGTATCAATTCTCAATCTCTTATTTGGTTCCTTGTTGCGATGGAGAAATATCTATAGTATTTTTTATATAATATAAGTTTATATTTCTGAGTTTGGAGAGTTCATAATTTTGTTGGTTTGCCATATGCACATAAATCATTTACTCTCAGGTCAATTTCATATCTATTCCAGAAATTTTAGGTCGATTATTTGATGATAATATCTATTTTTCATTGATGCTCTAGCTAGCGGCGTGCGAATGATATATTTTATTTAGAACTCCCTGATACTCTCTGCAAGAAATCGTCTCTGGTATCACAATGACATGAGTTTCCCTGCCTATAAAATCTTTACTATGGATGCTCTAGGCTATCCCGAGTCCTCCCTGCTCGTCGCATACAATCAATGCCCAACTAAGTACTATTTTGAGTCAAAGACTCGCTCCTATATACCCCAGCTAATCTGCGATCAATAGAACTCCGACCTCCCACATTTATTTCCTTCTGCTGGTCGCCAAAAAATGCTATTCCCATTGTCCAACTATCAAATTTCAAGCCGAAACAGGCGGCAGCGAGCTTCATTTGCTGAAATTATTGGGTCTGTTGACGGAGATGATGAAGTGAAGATTTTCGAGATTAAAGTTATTAAGAATATCGATAGTCTTGATCATATTCTTGATTCGGAGGTTGTAGACGTCTACCGAGCTGTGAAATGCCGGAGCGATGAGAAGAATTTCCACGTTCTTAATCATTGGTGCGTACTTAGGAAGAATTCGAAGAAAGTCTACCTCTTTAGCAGTACGATTCGGGTGTATGATATCAATCTGGATGAACAACTTAGGTGTTCCGCTATCTTCCTTGACTTGTAGTGCCTAATGTTGGGGAAGGGTGGAATAATCGAAGTCCTGCGCATACTGTTCGTCTTCAACTTGCTTGGTATGCAACTCATAAGCAATGGCCAATTTTTGGTTCTGTTCAGCAAGTTGTTGAGCCTCTTCGCGGGTCTTCTCTGCCGCTAACTTTGCCTCTGTGTATTTCTTAGAAGCCGAAATCTGGGTTGCGCGACCACGATAGTTTTTGTTACCCATTTTGGCGATTTGTGAAAATTATCGATTTTTGCAAATGAAGTTTGGAAGATTTATTGGAATGATGTATGGAGTATTATTAAACCTTCAGAGAAGATGATGTTTTATGCGAAGGCTTGTTGAGTTGATTGATGAATTATGATGTTTTGAATTAGAATAATTCTGAATATTAGGTCTTGGTATCTTTTATAACATCTTATGAACAGCACCAAGCCCCTCGATAGTTTGTCGGTCAAGTGCACATGACCGAGGCTGGATTAGCTGCAAGCGTTATACTGCCTACCGACATTACCATACTCGCTAGCTGCACGGTTATCATGAATCCGGCCCACATGACTACGCTGACAATTGTCAGTGTAAAACACACGGTTGAATGTCTGGAATTTCATAATAACCGTATCGATGAGCTCTGAGTAATTGTGTTTCGGCAAACGTTTGCACATACCACTTGTAAGGTTGAATCAATAAGGGTTTGTCAAGTTTCTGATTGTATTCCGAATCCTAGCAATGAAGCTCTGTATGGCAAATTCGCTACGATACCGCTAATTATGGGGTGCCCCCCAGATTAGCGCGAGCTGAAAGAGCGAAAAGAAATGATATTGCTTATCGCCGGATAAATTTCTCAGTGCTTTGTCATCCATGGCCATAGATGTGTCTAGTTCAACGGCATTGTGGCAGAGAAAATGTAGGATTGTCGATAGGCATGTCTTTTGGTCTTGAGAAACCCAAATACTTTTGGGAAACCTATTGAGTCTTCGAATGTTATAGTTAGCTTGTAGAAATGTATATTGTTGTATTCCACTGATTTAACACGTTTTGGGGCTAGGATGAATGACCAATTTTATCGAGATTTGCTGGAAAGAGAAGAGACCTGCGGGACTGAATTAATGAATAGCGACGCAGGGCACTACATGAAAACCACATAGAAATGAACCAATGTAGAAATGTAGAAATGGTAGAATTTAGTAAAATAAGATGCGTAAGATAATCTACATCCATAGTTACATACTAATTCCCGAGGTCTCCCTCAAGCGTTTTTAACTCCACTATCTTCCGTATGATTTTAGTTAGCCAGAAAACACACAAAGCTGACTGCGTGATAGTACAAACTATTATGAGCTGTTCAAGTGATACAATGATTGCTATATTATAATCGCGAATTTTTCTTTTTCAAAAGAAAATTTCATTCTGCCATCTGATCACATCGCCAAACCCCTTTGATTCTCGCTAAAGCCACGAATCAGAAATCCGGGCCATCTTCCATGGGAAAATGTACAATCAGATAGACATAATCATGCTCAATATTAAGCATGAGAAGAAATTTATTCATCCATCTCTTTAACATAAGAAGTTCATGATACCATAGCCAAACCACCCTAGAACACCGGGTGAGTCATCACTTCTCAGATTTTGGAGACATACTAGAATCTTTAATGATCCAACGCAAGATATATAACGTGACTGACCTTCTTTAATTTGGCTCGCTTTATTTTTGAAGGTAATCCCTATTTATTAGACATAAACTAGTCTTCTCCTGATTCTAGTTGCCAAAAAGATATCTTATATCCATAATCTAGGAGATACGTACTGTGATTGTGATGGGGCAATTACCAAACATCAACGGGCAAACTGATTGAGACGTCACCTTTTATACGTTAACTACTTCTCAGGTGACCAACAAATTTCCTTCTTTGCCTGTAAGACATACAACGCTCACGAGGTATTCATGAAAAAAGCTGCGGGAAAGCAGTAAGATTAGATATCTATGGTATATGCACACCAAAATTAAACTACCTAAATATTTACATTCGAATGATTATTTCAATTGAGAGAAAGTTAAGACCCTAATTTCTCACGGGTCTGTTCCTTTGGTGCCTCTATTCCAGGCACACGACAAGGATTGCTAGGATCGTAAGCCATACTCATTACATTTGCTCGGAGCCGACTAAGGGCTTTTCCATCTTCCACAATGAGAGACTGGCGCGAATCAGTCCTCGGCCCTTCTTGATTTTTGATGCGACCAGCCGCAGATGATCTGCGCCATACCCATACCAGAGAAGAGATGATAAGAACGGCAACCACGACTCCAATGGTAGCGCCGGCTATCACGCCGGTACTTGCGCCATGGCTTACGTTGTTACTTGCCGTCGAAGCTGTAGCAGATGAGCTAGTCGTAGTACTGCCAGTAGTATTGGTAGTGCTGGAGGTGTTGGTGTTTGCGGTCAGTAGAGCTTGATTGAAAAGTGAGGCAACTTTCGCATTTGTAAAGTCCCCAGAAGGGCGAATAAGTTGTGCAAAACCACTGGAACTGTTTATTGGTTAGTCATGAAAATGATTTGAAGAGTTGAAGAATACTTACTTTCCACCAATAACATCAGTGATGTTACCTGGGACAATGTATCTGTTGGCGTCATGATAGAACGTTGATGTCCATGATAACGTGTACATATCGTAGATAGCCACTCCCGAGCTTTCCCAATCACAATAAGATGAGTACTTCTTTTGAGCCCCACCAACTGTTAACATCTGTCTATTTCCAACTACATGGCAGGTGTGTCCAAAACGTGGACTGCCTGGCACAGACTCATAGACTTTTATCCACGTGAATGAAGGTAATGAGAGCACGAACACATCATCATAAGATACAGAACCTCCGTCTTGTCCGCCATAAAGGTATATATTGTAACTGGAATTGTCAGGAGCAGTGGCGACAACGGTACATGAATCCATCCTTCTTGGGGGAATATTTCCCGAGGCTTGTTGAGTAAACCAAGACCCGTTCCCTCCATTATATGCACTGTTGATATCGAAAATATTGATTTGATCCATTGAAGCCTAGTGAGACTGGTTAGAAAGACTTTCGAGGCTACTAAGGGCTTGTTTCAACCTACCAGAGTGCCTCCTAGTTCATCTGACAATTCACCAGCTTGACGATACATACCACCAAACTGGATTAGTATGCCTTTGCCATTCTCTCCTATTCCAGGTATGTATTGTAAAAGGCCCCCTGTTCTCGAATTTGTGTCGATGGCTGCAGTAGAGATATTCCTTGTCGTATTGTCCGTCATATTTAACATAACCATACCCTCCAGGGGCACAGAACTTCCCGCAGGAATTGAGGTCGTTTCTGTGCTCGACCCGTTATTGATCTCGCCATTAAAGTAAAACCCAAGACCTTGATCTGGAATGTCAGCGCTCGCCCCGAAACTAGGTTTCTCGGGTATCGTAGAGTCTACGTCAATCGAGGACCATTGATTTTGAGCTACATCATAAGACAGAAGGGTCTGATTTGGTGATGTAGGGCCGGTGTAGCCATAGAAGCTCGTATTCATGCTTTGCTCGGTTCCGCCATATAAATATATTTCATTGGCACCAGGGGTTCCAGAAAAAAGAGCACCGTTGAGAACTACAGATGAAAACGCATTTGATGATTCGGAATCGGAGAGAAAGACCTGTTCCGATACCAGTGGCAGACTTGCGGAAGCCTTTGTCCAATTCCAGGATTCGTTCATTTCAACACCTATCATATAATTATCTATCACTTTTATTAGCTGAACCTCGAATTGAAGAATATTAACTTACTTGTACCCATAGTGATACTCCCGGTTATACCACCATGATTGTTAGATTCAACAAAAGTTTCATAGCCCCCATATATGTACAAAATTTCGTTTTTCAATACCGACGAATGATACCATCTTTGGCACATATTTTTGACGGGATCTAGCCCTGATGGAATGTCGTTTTGCGCCCGGCGCAACATCTCGAGAGCCTTCATCCCACCCCTCCTTTGCATCTTATCATTCTTATGTACCAGAGACTCCGTGACAGCGCGCCGTAAATATCGCGAAAATTCCAGATTACCCTCTATCCTCATCGACTCTTTGATATCCTTTAAGCACGTATTCTCGAGTCAATAGCACAGAGGTATCGAGCTGCGCAATATGCCGAAGTCATCAAAAATTAACAGGCGTGTGAACAAGTAAAAGATTCATCAGTCAAGAAGAGAAGAAAGTCATGTCGAGAAGCTGGATGGAGAAGGGTTTCACAAAGAGACCATGTCCCGAGTATAGACTTCTATAATATGAGCAAAGATTCATACACCGAATGGAGAGTGGCGAAGGCCTGACAGTCACATCTTGCTAGATAAAGAGACCTAGACTTTCTTAAGATTGCCAGCCAAGAACTTTCAAAACCGGCACACCAGGATATGATATAGCAAAAGAGGTAGAGAAAATAACAGATACCACTTGCTTGTCCAATGAACTTGCAGCAAAGTCACAAGCATTCGTATCGAAGACACGAACACATGCTGTTCCTGCATGGCAAAGGATTCGGCGGTTGCATTTGATGGTAGAAGGATCGCGGCTACCTCATCTTTCTTAGAATAGTGTCAGGGGGTTGTGTTCACGAAAGTGGAACTATATTATATTTATACATCAGCCCCCAAATGAGGATCGAGATAAACAACTGTGAAATACGGGAGACCAAACGATTCAGAAGCGCAGCATATGATCACGTGATAATCATGAAGAAAATGCACGGTTCATCTGGAACTTCAACTTCATATCACAAAACTCTGTATCTCAGTCTCAGTCTCAGCCAGCATGGCAGTTATGTAGCATACAGCTGAAGTTGTAATTGAAAATATCACATTATTATGCATCTTTCAGCGATGCGTTGTATTGACAAATAATATCTAGTCTATCTGCTTTGGTTTTTTCTTCCACTTGACTCGATCCCAAAATGTCAACCCTTTGACGGTCATACCATGGTTGCCATGTTTCGGTAGATACATCTCAATTTCCTCTCTTGTCTGATCATCTACGCTACTTGCAAATCTCTCGGCAAAACTTATTGGCTGATAGCCAGGATCCAACGCTGTGAGATATTTCACCACTTCCACCTTTCCGTAATAGATGGCCCAATCTAAAACCCGTCTCTGTGCAGACTGCGTATCAATGCTGGAGCGGCCATATTCTGCCAGTGCCATGATTGTATGTACGTTCCCTACTCTTGCAGCGTACATCAAAGCGTTGTTGCCATTGACGTCTCGTATGCCTTCATCAGCACCCTGTTCTAGCAAGCACTTTACTCCCCGATCATAGCCCTTTAGGCAAGCGATCATCAAAGCTGTATGTTTCGAATCGCCGGCTCGAACGTCGATATTAGCGCCAGCCTGAACCAGTAGTTCTATCACATGTGTGTTGTGAGCGATTCCTTTATCGAAATAAACTGCTGCTATCAACGGTGTTTCTCCATATTTTCTATCTTTGACGTCCCAATTGCAAGAATCAACAACTGCATCATACTGCAGCAACAATTTCACCGAGAAGACACAATTCTGACGCGAGGCGATATAAAGTGGTGTCAACCCATGTGCATTCTGAACCTCCGTCGCTGCACCATGGCTTAACAAGAATTGAACAATTTGGGAATTCGAGGGCACTTGAGCAGCCCCATGCAATGGTGTGCATTTCAGATCACCTGAGACCAAATTGACGTCTGCACCATTCTCAACTAGTAACTTGACCACATCGAGCGATGCTTCATATTGACCGGCAGCCGCAAATAGAGGCGTACACCCCGCTTCATCACGTTGGTTCGGTTTGGCCCCGTATGCTAACAAACACTTTATAGCAGACTTGGAGCCCCACTTAGCAGCAAGGACTAAAGCAGTATCGCCATTTTGAGCGAATCGGTTCAGATTGAAATCCCCTGATTTGGCGAGTGACTCCACTCTTTTCAAGGCTTGCATCCGTACTGCGTCTATTAATTCCTCATGTCCTAAAGGTGTTGTTCGTATGGATTTCATGATTGCTCCTTGAACTTGGGGATATGCAGTGCCCTGGCTTGTAGCGGGAAACTTCGCAAGCCTGGAGTGATCTGTGATGCACGGCACTTCTACCTCCCTCGTACCAACACCAAGTACTGCTGAGTCTATATTTCTATCAGCGGCTTCGAAACACATGGAATAGAGTATTGAGGATATTGTGAAATGCTGCGAGGTGTGCTTACCTGGAGGTACCATCATCTTTTCCAGTCCTTGTCTGGCCCATGTTCCATCTGGCATCTAATGCATGAGTGAGTCATTAGTTTCCTGTGCAGGAGATTTTTACTAACCTCAACCAGAGTTTTGGTTCGAATGGTCTCATAGACTGATAGTATCGCGATGTCAGGCGCCGTGGATAAAAAGTGACAAAAATCAGAGTTCAGTTCGTTGAGTTCATGAGACCGAAAGGATATTTGTCGAATTAAGGGTGCTGTCGCATCATGCTTAACGAGTTCAAGTAGAGCCTCCGTATCTAATCCTCGATGAGGCGTTCCCATGAATATCATCAAAGGAATCGAAGGCATTACTTTCCATCGCCCTAACATTGCCTGGGTAAATCGTGAGAAAGAACACTATACGACACAGATAGTTGCATACCTTTTTAATCACCAAGCCTCCCAAACTATGTCCGACAAATACCAGAGGTCTATCCTGCTAAAGTAAATAGCTGTCTCTCCAAAACATAAGTATCTGACTTACTGATGCATGTCTGCGTATCTCTTCTACATCGCTGCGGAAACGAGAACTGAATACGGAAATAACAGCCTCTGAATGACTACCTTTCAAGTGAGAGTCAAACCCGTAACTCATCACCCTTGCATTGGGGAAGTCCACCGCCAGTTTGTCTCGCAACCACATATGCGTTGGTTCTGCCGCCCATGAACCGAAGGCATTACCAGCTAGTCCCGTGACAGCAATGATGCTATACCATCTTTTAGCAAGAATAAGTGTGGAAGTGGGGAAGCTTACTCGAGGGCTACTGGCTCTTGTGGCTCATTCAAAGGAGTGAATCCATAGAATGTTTGGTCAACGACAACTCTATCCCCGCCGTGGCCTTTCAGAACCGGCAATGGGACCGATGGATTCCAACCCGGCGGTGGTATGAAGTCTACAGTAGCGACTTTTAATTCGTTCGGCTGACCATCGATAAGTGGTGCCACAGATCTAGCAACCAGTTGCATGTCCACCGCGGGATCGAATTGTAAATAATTACAAACATTTTTGAGTGTTGTATCATGGGGTAGTCCTTCCACTCGGTAGCCTGTACGACCCATCTTTCAAGAGAAACTCCAGGCAATTGACATACAGAAGAGCGATGATGTTGACTTCAGTTGAATCAAATTGTTTCGAAGTGCCAGCTTGCAATTACTGGAATTGTTTTGGCCTACTACTGGGCCCCTGTAGGTGAAACACCAAAAGCAGAAAGTACCCTTCCCATCGGGATCCTTCCGATGTCAGCACTCGTCACAAAACTCGAAAAATTTCCACATTCGGCCGAAATTAACATTCTCACCAATAATCCCACGTGGTACTTGGCAAGGATCAAGCTGATAAGATATCACATCGAGGGATTAATAAACTTCCACATTAGATGAAGATATTCGCGCTGAATTTGCACCATCTTCCCAAGATGAAACATGGCATGCCAAGTTTACCATCGCGGGTGATCTAGGGCTCACAATGCTTGCACTGGATATTACAGATACTACCTTGTAACGTTTTATATCTCAAGACTCAGATGTCGCCACATTGTCTGCACGTCGAAGAGACAGTTGCAGAATATTTTCACAGCCTTATTATCGTCGATTCCCGATAACAAATATATGATATGGAATTATTCATTTAATTTAACACTTCTTCATCCTCGGCAATTAACCACGCGTAGATTAATTCATAGGGCTGGAGATGCCATATTAACGTTTGGAGATTCTTTCCCAAACAAGTAATTGGTCTCATCCAATCAGATGGTGCTCATCGCATATCTGAAAACTCTCTCATTCTTTCCCTGTGAGGTCACCGCAAACCACGGTAATAAAATGTGACGAGTATGAAGCATTCAGTTTCAAAACCAGACTGTTCCACAAACCCCGACGCTTCCTCTTCACTAGCTTAACTAGTAGCTACTATTCCGGGCCGGTCCGTTGGGAATTCATAGACTCGTGTTCGCGTTGCGTACTAGCCTTGTACTATTTTCGATTCCCATGAGCAGAGACTACATACTCTACAAGTATCGAAATTAGACATAAACTGACCTTGAAAAATTAGACATTACTCCAAGATACTAACTAGTAACTCTTCCACCCACCATCCAAAGAAGCTACTCCCCAACAGCCGCTTAACGCCCCATCTAGTAATATTCTTTTACGAGCAGTTGTCCAAGCTCGTCGATCACAAGCTACCTATGTACCTACACCCAAGTCTCAAGATACTCTTCCTTACCTACACAGCAAGTATTATATCAGATCTCCACCGCATATCCAGAACCAAAGCATACATAGGTACATAAATCCACATATCCATACGCATACACTCAGCAAACACCTCATCTTAATCACCTAATCACCTAATCACACATATACACATACACACATATAATAAGATAAGCCCACACACCGAGCATAAAAGGCGCACACAATCGGAGTTCGCGATGTATGTGAGATTCATATCATCTCGTGTATTATATTGTTTGTGTACACCATGTATTATGTTTTTCTTTCTATACTATATTTGGGGGCGAGATTGTGGGACCCCTGAGTACCTAGGTATGGGTGGATACTGCGGTACAGTAAGCGGGAATACGGAGGACCTTGGTAGGGGTGTGGTAGGGGGATGAGGTGGTAGGCGCTTATTTTGGGGGGTGGTAAGAATGGGGATTTGGGATGTTGGACTATGCGTGTGATATGATATGATGGATGTGGAATTGGAATTGGATTGGATTGGATTGGAACGGAACGGATTAGATTGGAACGGATTAGATTAGAATAAATGAAAAGGAGTACCCAGATACTCGTGATGTAGAAAATTAATTATACAAGAAAAGCACGTGAATTTCAACTGTGAAAATGACAATTCGTGTAGAGTAGTAATCAAGTAGCAATCAAGTAGCAATCAAGTAATGAACAAAGTAGAAGTATTTTAAAGACTTTTAGATATAAAAAAGGAAAGATTTCCTACTTCCTAACCATTAATAACGGGCTATAACGCCATCATAATCAGATATCCAAGTAAATAATGTTACATAAGAGAAGGAGAACTGGTGAACGGAGAGGAAAGAAATTTATCAGAAGTAGGTATCGTAATCCAAAGTTAAACCTGTCGTATACATACACTTTCGGATCCTGTAACCTACCGATCTATACACCTAAGAAACCCTGTGGAAAAGAAAGGGAGAAAACGAAGCAAAAGTAACAAGAGAAGAAAAAAAAGAAAAAAAGAAAAAAAGAAAAAGAATAGAAAAGAACCACAAGAATCCCCCGATCCCCTACCCAAAAGTCCCAATCCACCCACCCCTTAACACAAAAACCCCATGCGAACCAAAGCCTGCAAGCTCCAT